AACAAATTAAAATTAACACACTTCGAAACTATGAAGAAATGGTAAATAAAGTTAAGTTAGTATTATTTAATACTTTGAATTATTATTAGGAATATCTGATTTGTAAATCTTTTCTTACAACAATTCTTGATCCAAAGAAATAAAAAAATGAAGTTTGCTACAAATAGTTAAAAACTCGAAGCCAAAATTTACTTGATTGCCGAATATGAACTTTTTAGAGAATCAGTTTCAACACCACTTGGTATAACACAAATAAAAGATGATAAAGAAGAAAATCCATTATTAGCAACTATGTACACATCTTCTATACAAGATTCTGAAACTAATAAAGAAATTCAAATTTATCTTGCATTTCCAAAAATTTTGAGTATACGATATCTATTAGAATGGTAGAACAGCCAGCAAAATAACTTTTTGATATTAAGCAAAATAGTATCTAAATATTTGTGTGTTCTAGCTACTTCTACATTCAGTGAATATCTTTTTAGCAATACAGAAAATCTTATGATTACAAAATATAGCTATTTAAACTTTGATTTATTCAAACAAATGTTATTTCTTAAAAAGAATATAAATATTGTTGGCATGATATTTCTTCAAGACTAAATATATAATGTATATAGTGTAACTGCTAATACTGAATTAATAATTTATTAATTTATTGACTATATAAATTGCTTTTTATTTCTTAATATTATTAATAATTTATTTCAATAAATTTAACAGATTTTAATAGATTTTATCAGATAATTTATAACCAGATATAAAGATCTAGTAGATTGAACAAAAAATAGTTAAATATCTATGGATCCAAGCATTATGTTACAGAAAAGTTGTTTAAGCAGATGTTTAAAAATTATCTGTATAGTGAGCATATTATTGCTTTATTATTTTTTAAGCTAGTAACTATATTCTAATTCTGAATTCTTTATTCTAATAATATATATTCTAGCAATAATAATACAAACAAAATTATTCTAATATCTTTGAAAAATTTAGATGATATTTTTTTTGATAAGCATTCAGATTCGAAAATGAAAAAGATAAAAAATTAAGCAATGAAGAGTTAATTAATAATAAATTGAATGATGAAGAATTAGACAATAAAAAATTGAATGATAAATTACTTGATATTGATAATGATAGTATTAATTTAAATAGGTTAAATAAATTAAAGTTTGTAA